TCTTCTGTCATTGGCAAACACTGAGTTCTGCCATTGGTAAACACAGAAATGGTGTTCTTCTTTGGTCTAGACATACTTGTATTTCTTTGATGGACAACCCAGTAGCACATCTAGGCAACGTTAACTTCCCTACAACTGCTTCTAGTGCAGTCGCTGTTCCCTGATGGGGAAAAAAACACGTTCCAGCTTTGTAGAATATTTCACAGGTGAGGTGGATTTCTTCCTACCCACAACAAGGACCTGAAACATTGCTTTTGGATTCATTGTCTGATACTTCTCAAACTGTCAGAGAAATGAAGGCAGTGTGAATTAAGATGCTGTCAAATATGAACAAATACCAAAGGGTATGATAATGTTGATGTTTAACACTGGGGCTGGCAGGACATCTGTCTCTAGGTAGTAATGGGACCCAGAAAGAACTGGGAGAGGAACTTCCCTGTGGCCCTCCAGGGAAGTATTGGAAGGGGAGGCTGGAGGCAGGTGATGCTTTTCTTTCTCTGTATGGAGCCAATGTCCCTGCAAAGTTCCTTTTACTGGTGGCTAGTGCCATTGTTCAGCCTCCTGTCCCAAGCATTATCTTCCTCTTAATTAGGAAATCTGCCTTCAAGACAGCTTTCTGTCTGGGACTGCAGACTTCCTTTCCTCTTGCTGTCTTGAGCTTGGAGACAGCTCCCTAGGGGCTATTGTACCAGGCTACCTGGGTGGCACAATTGCAGCAGGAGATACCAGCATCAGCACACAACAGAAATGCCCCCAAAATCTTGTGACCAGCCCATATTCTGCCTCAGTTTCTTTACCTGACATGACGATTGGCTGGCTGTGCTGTACGCTGCTTGAGTAGTAGTCTGTTTACAGTTAGCCTGGTTGAATGCAAAGTGACTGGTCTGTGTACTTTCTGTATTTTGAAATATCATCCAGAAATATCTCTTAATGCTGAGCTGTATTTTGCCTGTGCAGCCTAATAATTTTCTATTAATACTTATCTTAGGTCTGATCCACATAAAAGTGCAGTGTCAAATAAGGTTCTCGTGATATTTTTAAGCAATCTAACCTTTGATCCTGGCTAAATTCCAATCTGAATAATTACTGACTACCTACATTTTTCTTGCATTTTCAATTGAAGAAGTTAGCTTTCCCTTCCCGTTTTGAAAGTGATTGTGTAACATTGCTCTGCAGTAAGTAGATGCTGCATTCCTCTACAATGGTGCGTATGTTTTACTGGTAAGTTAAACGAGATTATAGAGGTATAATGGTTTTACTGGCATGTTTATACCTAAATATAGATATGTCTGTAAAACCACTTCATCTAATGGCCCTCCCATATATTTTTTTCTAGGGAGTAAGAGACAACATAATAGTGTGGAGTACTGTGTAAGGGATTTTACTTAGCAGTCTGGAGTCTGGGATTTGCTAAATTGTTTTGGAGTGCCAAAATCGCAGAAAAGACTTCACTGTGTTGCCCCACACCACCACCAAGGGAAAATCCTGCTCATGTAAAATACTTTGTAATAAAATATCCCTGCATGTTTTAGTAATCATTCTTGACTGGTGAAATTATACTGTAAAATTATTAAAGTTGCTTGAAACAGAAAGGGTAAATGTCCTGTTTTACAGCTGCAGCCTTGTCTGGTGCTTATGAATTTCTTCATGTGTGAATTTCTTCATTCCTCTTCTTCACTGGGAACAAGAACCCACTCAGGAGGAGGTCCATGTGCTGCCTCCAGTGCTTCCTTGGTTGGATGCCTTGAATGTTTGCATTCAAACACCATAGAAATTAATGGACAAAACTTGTTCCTGTGTATGCAGAAACACATTTTCAGGATAGTTCTGGGGTCACCTTAATCTGATAATAAGTCTATAGTCATTCACCCTTCCCTTGCCTCTATTAGCACACATTCAAAAGGGGCTTGTAGTGAGCCAGACCAGGGGAGGAAAGTGAGATGAGGTTTGTGCTGCGATGTTTGTCCCTTTCTCTAAGAGCCACCACCTGCGTGTGAGCAGACATGTGCAGAGTGGCTACTGCTCAGGAACAGAAGTCAGCCCCAAGGAGGGAAGGGACAGTAACTCCATGAGCACCCCTGTTGCAGTCTCTCCATGCTGCAACTCATGCTCAACTCCATGCTGTGACCCTGCTGCTGCCTTATGGGAGCTGGATGGTAGAAACCACACTCAGCTCTGAGTTGTGTGTAATTTATTGACGTTATCCTGCCTTATCACATCCCTGTGTCCCATCATACAAGGGAGTCCAGCCTGGATCTGGTACCTGTTATTCCCTCAGAGGGACACTGATCTGTGGCACATGGATGGCCCCTGGAGCACCTGAAAGACATTATGAGCATGACAGTAATGTTATGTATGAGTGAGAGAGGGCGAGATAGATGTCTTGGTTGGTACAACACAGGCTACGTAAGCATTGCTATGCCTGATCCAGGTGGGGGGTTAAAGATGACAATCCAAATTGGAGGTGCTGGCTTGGCTATAGAGACACAGACACCCTCCTCTTTGTATTAGCTTCTTTCTAGCCCTGGCTGCTCCCTGCATATCTGGGCAGAGCTTAGGAACTGGCACTGTACAGATAACACCATCATGTGTTTAATGGAAAAATCTGCCTGAGGGGGGGGGGCACATTGCATGAGCTAGGCACCCAACAGATTGGCACCTATGTGCTCTTCAGGATCTGGACTCTCTTATCCTGCTTGGAGATAGATGTTAGAGATTTATTGGCTTTGATGCAGGTGAAGAGAAGGGGATGGACTTTTTGGCTGCTATTTTTCCCACTGGGAGAGGCCTGTGCTTGGGTGTGAAGGCTGACAGCTGCCATGATTGCCTGTATAGCTTCTGCATGAATGCTATCTGAGCCCTGGGTTGGAAGGCCCTGTTAAATATTCCTGGTGGGAGAAGGACTGGGAAAAACCTACACTTTTCTCCCTGGGCATTGCAACTAGCCATTGCCTAATCAAGTGTAATATACTGTATGAGTCAATGCAGGAGACATATTTTAAGAGAACAAATATAGCATTAAAGTGAGTGAGCAAGAGACTGAGAGACAGAGAGTGTACAGAGTGCATTAAAGTTAATAAAGCATTGAAGGAACGGGGACTGCATTTCACTGTGAAGGAATCTAATTTAGTGACTCGTAATTGGAGGATAACAGTCATGCTGGAATGAAGTTAACTGTTCATTTTGCCAAACTCTCAAAGTCTCTTGGTTCTCCTTGTGAGCATCTCTCGGAAAGTGAATCCGTCAGAGCTTAGAATCGATCGGTGCTTCACAGCCGTGGTCCCTTTCAGCCTTCTTAAGTGGATTTGGTTCCTCTGGTGCATATTTATTATCTGTTTTATTATCTGCTTATTTATCTGGTAATATCAATGCAGGATACATTCTCTCTGGTTAGCATGACAATGAGGGAGCAGGTGCTGAGCCTATGTGTTCTCCAGGGCAGGGCAAGATTGGCCCCTTGTGCCTTTTCCCTATGGATGGCTGGTGTCAGGTAGGGCTGTTTTGTGGGCTTCCCGCTTCCACAAAGCTTTGCCAGCACTGTCTCTGCTGCTGTGGCTTTCTGTTCGTGTGATAAAGGCAGGTGTAGCAGCAAACAGTATGAAATGATCCTGTTCTTGGACACCCAAGAACAGAGGTGCAGTGCAAAAAAGTGCAGGGCTAGTGTATTTATTTGAAGTGTGCCTGGCTGCTGAAGAACAGAATTGTGGGCGTGAGTGGCCGAGCAGGACATTTTGCCCTGGGGAAAAGTCTTCTTTAGTTTGAAATGCCTGAAATCTCCTTGGGACATGAACATGGCCCTGGGTGGGCATACCAAGCAGTGCTACCTCTCACAGGGGTGGTGGGCAAATGTGGGGACACTGCTCTGTTGTCCACAGACCAGGGCTGGGGTTCTGATCTTTACACCGCATAGGTGCTGTAAAAATTAGTTTGTTAATGTTTGTAAAGTGCCTTGAGGATGAAAAGTGCTGTGGAAATGCAAACTATTGTTAAAATGAGAGTAAATAAAGAAAGAACTAGGAACAATCCCTCTGGGAGCTGTCCTGCTCAGGCAGGGGCTGGAGAGATGACCTCATTGGATTTTGCTGTTCCTACTGTTGCAAAATAAAGTGGATGTGTTCAGGGAAAGGATCGATGTAACATACCTGGCTGTAGTAGCTGAGGGTGAACCATCATAAGCTCTAAGTATTTCTCCTTCTGCGCAAAAATAGCTGTTATATGGGCTTGAAGGGAATGTCTTCTCTACGCTGCATTGATCCAGTTTTGGCCCCAACCACTGGGAAATTTTGTATTCCTGGCTTTTTTTTTTTTTTTTTTTTTAAAGAACCCTGTATTGGTGGAAAGCATATAGCTGACTGTACTACAGACTGGAGCTCTGTGTGTCCTGGTGGTGGTAGGAAGGTCGTATGCAATGGATACATATGTACACGCATACATATACATCCAATGACCTTGCCCGTTTGTCCTCACTTTATTCTGGAGGGACTGTGATGAGAAAGTAAAAGGGGGCCCTTATTTGCCTGTTCTCCTCAGTCTCCGTGCCTGTACCTCCCGCACAAGCCCAAACTGATTGCAAGCACCAGTCATTCCTTTGTGTTGAGGGTGAGCACTCAGACATGGGCTTGACATAAGCAATTAATTTCACAAAGTCAGCTGATCAGCTGTCAAAGGACAATTCTCTATCACTTTTGACTTGGGTCTCAGAGTGACATGGGACTTGAGAGATGACATGATCCCATCTTCTGTTGACAGCTGTTTTCTTAAGTGATTCCAAAGTCTGAAGTAGAGGCTGGACTGGTCTGACACTAGGGCTCCCCCCAACTTTAACAGAGCCCTGAATGTAGCCAAAGGGCTAGGCATTAGATGAGAAGGATTGTTGGGAGGAGAGCTAGTGGCTGAGGAAGATCAATGGATCTGCCTTGAAGGCTGACTGCATGACTGACTTGTCAATTAATCACTTTCTTTTACTTTCCCCCTTTCCCTTTTTTTATTTCCTCACTCAGGGAGTCGAAGAACCGAAGATGAGGCCCAGTGTGGAGTGCTACTCTCCGAGGTTTTGGCTGGTGCTGGCAGTCCTTGCAACAACAGGGAGCGGGGCCCATGCCCAGAAAAGCCACCCGAGCATTGGCATTGCAGTCATCCTGGTGGGCACCTCAGACGAAGTGGCCATCAAAGATGCCCACGAGAAAGATGACTTCCACCACCTCTCAGTGGTGCCTCGGGTGGAGCTGGTGGCCATGAATGAGACAGATCCTAAGAGCATCATCACCCGCATCTGTGACCTCATGTCAGATCGGAAGATTCAAGGGGTGGTATTTGCTGATGACACAGACCAGGAAGCCATTGCCCAGATCCTGGACTTCATCTCTGCCCAGACCCTCACTCCCATCCTGGGCATCCATGGAGGCTCCTCTATGATCATGGCAGATAAGGTAAACTTAAATGAACTTCCTCCTATTGCAGACCTGTGGATCAAAACTTAAACCAGAAAGAAATATCTTATTCTGTGATCCTCAGGTGTTGTCTCATGGGGCCGAAGGGTTGAGGGATTAGACAGTTTCAGATTCAAAGAGAGATTAAAAGAGCTAACTGTGTGTAGCACCACTGAGAAGAGCCTATTAATCATGTGGAATTATCTGCAACAGAGAAAAAACGAGGAGGGAAAGGAGCAGGTAGAAGAGAGCTGAAAAAGAATTGGCCCTTTTGTTCTTCCTTAGGGAGGGTAAAGAACCCCTGACAATTGTAATTCTTTTTAAAGGTTTTATTTTTACCCGTGTTTTACCTTAGAAGATCCGGGGATCCTAGCCTGGGTTTTTACTGCATGTAGCTGGAGGACACTGTGGTATTTTCAGGGACATTTAATACAACTCTTACATCTTAATTGGAATATAATTGAATCTTTAATAAAGCCATCCTCTCTCAGAAGTGTTCATTAGCTCCTGAAGTTAAATAGATGTTGGCTAAAACAACTAACCAGTTTGAACCAGTCCAGCTAAGTCTTTCTTTTTTTCCACTGCACTACTTTATTCCTTCATATCATTGACATTTTACTGTTTTCCCAGGCCCTAGCCAGTCTTCTAAGGAATTACTACGCAATCAAGCCTTCCCCTACTGGTTTTGAACAGGGCAAGATGTAGAGGGAGTAGCATCTTTGACCACTGATTACTGTTATCTTAGTGGAGCCTCCATGAGGTGCAGGTGGACCTGATAGAAGTCTTCCTCCTGTAAGGAACAGGGGACCCAACAAGTAGCACCTGAGTCTGCGTTTGGCCAGATGGCTAACATGCCTCTGGGCTACTGTGGGCCATGGAAATGTGTGAGAGGAGCTGGCTGTCCTTTTCGCTGCAGGCTCGAAGCCAGAGAGAGTTAAGGCCAAGCCTTTTATTGAGAAGACCCTTTTGACCCATGCTTGTGCCTTCCAAAGAAGTAAGCAGGGACACAAGCTGACAGCCTTTTTCTTTTACATGTTGTTTTTAAACAAATCTGAGACATTTAACTAGGCAGAATCGGGTCTAATTGAATGAAGAGTGGGAATTAACCTGGCTACTGTTGCTTTTCCTCAGAAACAGATCTAGCGGGAAAAGAAATCCAGGCACTTTCTGTTTTATTTACCTTGCAAATAAATAATCCGGTGCAGGCTATTGGAGGTGATAACAAATTATTTTCTCACTCTTTGACCAACTGTTCAGTTGCCAAATAACATACAGTTAATACGCAGTATTGTTTTCTCATATCAGCCTTTGAACTGAAATAGTCACTGAATAAAATAATCATGGGCCTTTTTTACTCTCTCTCCTTGAATAGTTGCACATGTGCTAAAGTCATGCAGCCACATTCCACCTACAATAAAGCTTTTCTGCCTTGGAGGACAATCAGACAGCAATGCTGCATCTTGATGCTCTCCTGCCTGCTGCATTGCATGGTTATCAATCTCTGTGCAAAAGAGGGTCTGAAGCATTTCTTGAGTGCTGCATTTCACACTTATGGTGACATTTTACATCCTCTTTGAACAAGTGTAAGAGTTACTGACACAAGACCTTCTAGACACTGGGAAAAGGTCCTTGTGACTTTGAACATGGCAGGCAAAATTCTGATTTCAGATTCCCGCAGTGTAAATCCAGCATAAACCCATTGCCTTTGGCAGGATTAGATCAAATTTACCCTGCTGTAATTCAAAGAGAAATTTGGCCTATTGAACTTTGAAAAGATTTTTTTTTTCTACCTGTCTCTAGTCTCTCCTTGGGAAGGCAGCATCTCCCACCACTGCCCTGTGTACCCCACTGGCTTGCTTCTAAAGATCATTCTGGCAGGCAAGCAGCCCACAGGGAGCTCAAAGGTAGAAGCCTTATGAATGGAGATTTCTGTTTTACCAAGCTCCCCCCCCTTTTTTTTTTTTTAAGTTTTGCAGACAGGAGAAGCAGATTATGTACAAAGATCTGCAGTTTTAGGAAAGGCCAAGGTTTCTTAAACATAATTTGAAAAGGCTGACCTTTACGGTTTCTGATCCGCAGGTGTGTAATCTTTAATGGATAATATTTATTTGATGAATTGAATGAAAATATGGTAGAGAGTAAATACACTAAAATTCTACTAAAAATACTAAAGTCAGCCTGCTAAGTCCTTAAGCAATTCCATTTTCCACAGAGGGCCTTGACAGAGGCTTTACTTTTAGTGACTCTTAGTCATATTCTTTGCAGATGAGTTGTGTGGCTGAGGTTTGATCCTGCAAGCATGGATTGCTTCTTTCAGCATCCCCTCAACGCCCACAGCAGTCAGCTGTGATTGAACTTGCTCAGCATTTCACAGGTTCAGATCTGCACTTACAGCTTCGTTATGCTCCCTGAGTGTTTGTGATCAGTAGCGCCAATGCAAACCTAAAGAACGCTACAAACCACTAATGCCTTAGTGTGACAGATAAGCCCCTCTTCTCTGGAGGTTAATGCAAAAACTCCTCAGTCAAACCACCTTTCCCAGAGTAGCATGTGAAATTCTGTTTCACCTTCAATGAGGGTTTTGTAAGTGTGTCTGCAAGGAAATTTGGGTCATGTAAAAAAGGCTTTGTAATGTGCCATGCAACTGGTAAATTGAGACACAAAAGAGCAGGGAAAAAGAAAAAAAAATAGAAAAAAATGAGGATTTCAAGCCCAAATTTTATTTTCTCCTGTATATAAAACCAGAAATATTGCGTGATGTGCACCATAAGCTGGCCTTATCTCAGTTAACATGCGTCTGGAAATTTGCTACCCACCAGCTAGAGGTCTAGGCATCAGTGGTGAAGGAGGCACCACCTGAGGACAATTCACCCCACTCACCTCAGGGTGCAGTGAAATGCTCGTGGGACAGTCCTGTGTCTCCCCACTGTTTGCTGAAGAAGGCTGTACCTCAACTTGTTCGTGATGCCTCAAGTTAAATGCCATGAATCCTGTAACATAGGTGGAGGTATGTTGCTGAAAGTGTAACATCTGGTTTTCCTGATTCTTTTTGTTCACACTCACATTCCTTAATATTGCATTGGATTACATTTTGTAGATAATGTTTATGTATTTTTGTTTTCCTGGTGTTTTGCCTTTTTTTCTCTGAAAAATAGGTATAGAGGAATTTGTATATGTTTTTGCTGTTTTACTCAGTGTTCATGTCTCTAATTCCACCTGCTTAACTGCTACGGAGTGTTACATTTAATTTCTGCCTAATTTGGCATAAGAAGAAAATGACCAGATGATCTGTGTGCACACTGTGATCTGGGTTCAGTTCCAGGAAAATGGTGAAGTACAGATACATGATGTGCCTCACTTGAGCTCTGGAGAGACCACTTTGCCGGGTGAGAGTTGTGTCATAGCCAGTTAAGGTCCTTTAGTCCCTGATAAGCATGCCAGCAGTGATGCCAAACACAGTGAAGTACAGCAGTCATTTTGTGGGGACTGGATGGCCTAGGAGTGATGGCTGAGGGGATCCAATAGCCCCCACGTTAGTTCCTCTCAGAGGAGCAGGGCCTGTAGCTCTGCGGCAGGATAGAAGAGTGCTCATGCTGTTTTGGCCCTGTAAGGAAGCACTTCTTCCTTGTTTTGGTGCCGACACCTTGAAAAGGATTAGGGTGATAACATCGTCTTACCTGGACCTGTGATGAGGAAGGGAAGAGCACTGGTCACTGATGATCTCTGTTTAATCCAAAATAGATGAAATGGAGAGGAGAGAAATGTGCACCAGTACCAGTGTTAGGTTTTTGTGGTAGAATAACTTTGCTTGTGGAAGCTTGCTGGTCTCTTTAGTTTGCCTGATGTTGCCACAATGACCTTACTTTTTGTATTACCCGATTTTAAGCATTAGTTTGTATTGTCCAGAGGACTGCAATGCCTTTTTGACCAATAAGCATATCTGCTCCCATTCCAGTGTTTAAAATAATGTCTTATTTCTCCCCAGTTGTTTTGAAAGCAGAAATTCAATTGTATGAGGATGCTCTATGTTAAGAGGCTGATGGTGAAAGTAAACCTTCAAGGCTGCAAACCAAACTTCAGTTCCGATAACCATACAAACAAATATCTTGTGTTTGCAGTCCTGAGACTGGCAGTCTGGACCGGGCTTTTCTTCACTGTAATTTCAATATTCCCTAAAATCCCTTCTTCCCAGAACTAGGAGGTAAAGGAGCAGTCAAAAAAAAAAAAAAAAAAAACCACAAAACTAACAGATATACATTTATAGGTATCTCAAGAGAAGGATGAATTGTTATTCAGATTTAAATAACTTACTGTGTTGGAAAAGATTTAGCTCCTTGCCTAAAAAGTGACCACACCATTGGCTGACTGATCCATTTTGTAATGATAGAAATATTTATTTGTTTTAAAATAACAGAAAAAGTCAACTTGGTGATAATGAATGCAGAAAAGGTAAGAGCAGAAAATGCCTTGGGTTCTCTTATAGCACAGCTGGTGACCATCATTTTTGCCGGAACTGTGCTTTCCTATTTCTCCACAGTCGCGTTATTTTGCCAAAGCCTCTTGTCCTATGAAGTGTTATAGTAACACAAGGGTGCACAGGCAGCACAGGAAAAATATTGGAAGAAGAGGATGGTTATGTTTTCCCAGGTGAAAATCATTCTTCTCTGTCTCTGCATCCCTTGCTGTTTTCTCCAGGGCTTGCCCACACAGGGATACGTGCAGTATGCATCAGCATATTGATGGAAATAAAATGGTAGGAAAGAATGATCTGTTGAGCTGGGCTGTGCCAGTAATAAAATTTGTATAAAAACTGCATGAAACTAACCTGAAATCTAAGATGTGATCTGTTCTAGGCCAGATTCTCCTTCCTTTTTTTCACAGAGCACGGAGCTGATTTTTCTGTTATTCCCTCCCCTACCTTGTTCTTTTTTCCCGTTTATACCAAAGCTGCAATGTTTTCTCTGCCTTTTCATCCCCACTTCAGAAATCCCTCTCCACTC